GATTGTGTAGACAGAAAGGTAAAGCATAGAAAAACAATACAATCGTCGGTCAATCAGAAAAAAAGTCACTTCACATTATAAATCAGACGCAAATTACACCATCATTTTGATATATTTTTAAAAATTAATTTGTTCAAAATACGAGTATACCTGTAAAACACTTGTGCAGCTCTTCCGGAGTAATATCTGCCGGCAAATTGCCGACAAAAATCTGCTGTTCGTTAGGAAACATATCCAATACATAGTTCTGCCGCGCCATTCGAGGAGCACCCACGTTCGACATCCGTGGGGGTACATTACCGGCAGATGATCGATTTGACTGCGGTCTGTTAGATTCCGGCTTAGGAGATGTCTGAAAATTAATAAGATAACTAATATGTATGTTACAAAAGACAAATGGTACAGTAGAGTATCATTCAAGTATATAATTTAGGTAGCAGATGTTGAATATTACAGGTTTGCAATGAAATGGACTTCAACCTTGTTTTATAAGTATAATCATCTAAGAAGGGCTATCAATGTTGCATCCTCAAAAATACTTTCGGTATTCTCAAAAACGGAAACGTTGCGTCAATGCCGTGGATTGCTCCAGAACCGGAGTCCATGAAAATAATATCCCAGTGACTAACATGACAAGATTTCATGCAGTGATGGCTATGATCTTCAATGCCAAATGGAACGATTGTGTGGAATAATGATAGTTTATCACTGAACAAAAAGCGGCGAATCACGGTGATTCAGCGCTATGCTTAAGCCGCGCTACTGAACATTCTTCATAGAAAAGACGACTGATGGTCATATCTATGCATGAAAGGGTTGAATTACGCACTGTACTGCGCAAGCCTCATTAATGGAAGCACTGCCACATAAACTTCGAAATGAAAAAATGTTTAACTAACGGCCACTCAAAAGACCTAACTTTCGTTCTACTAGAGACGCTAGTAGTTTATGAAAAATTAGCCACAACTTTCCATGTCCTGTCCGCGAACCTTGTCGTGCAGACGCTGGCGCTCTTACTAAATGAAAGGATGACAAAAAATTAAATGAAAAACAGAAGTTACATCTTGTTTAGACTGCAATGTGGTTGTTACTTATGAACGTCAACTGCTGAAACATACAAGACAAAAAAGACTGTTCGACAGCTAAGCAATTTAGACACCTAAAAAGGAAGCTAAAATAAAACATGGTATTGCTTGAAGCCACCAGCATAATCCACAAATATAGTAACTAACACTCATTTACTATGGTACTTAATTAAACAAGTAAGTTATACTTAATGGCAAAAACATTTTTCGATCTGGCGAACGGCTCTATGACAAGCTTTACGAGTCAGATATGCAACCAGTGCTAGAGTTGCTTCTAAAAACTGCTTTTTTTCCACCTTCACTAACTAAAGTCAGCAATACAATATGAGAAGCGAATCAGCACACTGCACTATAGTTTACGTACATTTAGAAGAATCGACAGGCCTCCCTTCAAATCGATTTTTACCTGCTGAATATGCCTGAAAATCATATACTTATAATGAAAGGCTCTACTTCTCACGTGTTCAACAACGAAACATTGAGAAGCGGAACGAGAAAAAAATTCCGTGAAGCCGATTAGCGAAATGAAAGTTAAAATGAGCAACTAACATGACTATTGTTTAACTTACTGACAAACATAAGAAGTAAATGCGAAGTTTGCTTGCTACCTACTTGATTAGACGCAACAACGGCAGGAGTGGTAACGGTTGGAACAACTTGCTGCATGGTCGGCTGCCCGGCTGATCTCAACGGCTTTTTGGCAACCCCCGCCCAAGTAGTCGGTCCACTCGGGATGTTTTCTACATGATCTTCCGACTGTGTGCTTAACTTATCAGTCGAAGGAGACCGTCTAGGCGCCGCTGTCACATCTAGCACAACTTCTGACGGCTGCAGTTGACATTCGCCTTCCCCACAAACGGTACTGTTCATAGACTGCATCGGAACACACGGAATTGTGTTGGCATTCATATTCGTCCAAGTTTCGTTAACGCTGGTTGCGAAGTTAGAAGGCGGTTCAGTCGAGGATGTAATTTCTTCAGCAGTGGTGCTCCGAATTACGCTAAAAGCATTACACAATCAAACATAACCTGAAACTCCAGGTTAAACTGTAGTTAGTGAACACATATCACAACAGAAATCTTTAACGATACTCAATGAAGGTCAACACTAATTTCAAACTCACCATTGTCTATGATTCCATTTGCACAATGCTTACATGGTCTTCTCTTTTAATATCAGATGAACTGCTTACAACTTATATACTGCACTGTGATACAGCCTTTTCTACCTCAGAAACTGATTATAGCCTTTACTTAATATGGTACAAACAATATTTTCAGCATAGGATAATAGGATCACATTAGCTACAAGTGACTCAGTCCATGCCGCTTTAAGCCATGAAACTACTACCGTGTGAGTCAAATGCGTAAATATTTTTTAAATACATTCTAACTACTTAGGCACTGGAAGCAATAACTGACTTAATACTCTACAGCCTTGTAATGTTTCCGATACCATTATACATTAGCAATACAATTATAGCTAGCACTACTTTTCCAGCGTACGAACATATGTCTCTGCGGTAGCATATGATGAGAAGATCGCAAAACATCATTCGTAACGAGGGCGACGGATTTGCAGCAGGCCACATGGTGCACGATACATATTGCATCACAGATGTTCAAATATCATGTAGCCGTAACCAGCTTAAATGGCTTCCACAGAACACTAGGAAGAAAGGGGCGTTGCACCACGCCGTGAAATAACATTACTATTGCTATTAGTACTACAAATTGCACTCATTCAGCTTATATATTTTGTGGATCTGGAGAAAGGCCATGACTGCATCAAATGCAACAAGCTCTGGGCACGTCTGCAAAACGCGTAGGATCGGTGCCCAATAGTTATGAATCATTCAAAAACTATTTGCTGATAGTAGATGGTGCGTCAAAGAGCATGACATCAAACGGAGATTTTTCAACGATGACACTGGTCTCCGAGCTCCGCTGAGGACGCGTTCTGTCCCATCGCCTGGCTGTAGAGTAAATGAATAAGATGAGTGCATCAGGGTATGATATGTAAAAATGAAAAGTTTGTTGTATGAAAACAACCTTGTTTCGCTGTCTTTAGCGAGATCTGGAAAGGTTGTTGGTTGGTAAAAGCGAGCGCAACGCATTCTCAGTAGTATGGCAACCACGCTCCGCCGCTAAACAGATGAGCTGCAAAAAAATACGCGCGTTGGGGTAGGGGATTGTGTTTACTCATGCTACTCATGGACAATGAGAAGAGATCGAATGGCAATTTGCAACGGCTAGCGGCATTTTGCGTGAATACGATGGAGCGGAGTTCCAACAGGAAGCTGCCTGCACTGAAGCTGATTTCCATCTCCATACTCCCTTGTGATCATATGTGTGATGCATGACAAACTGCGATCCTGGAAAACAGTCAGAAAAAGCTGAAATTGGCCCTAGCAGAAAATGGGGCCACGCGTCTCAATAAGGTCTGAAGATCTGATACTCCAGTGAGCCTTAGGGCGTAGTACATCAACACGTTCTCCAGAATGAGGACTGACACCAATATGGCTTTGGCAAATTTCGCCAGTGCTTCTAGAAAGGCAAGCAAAATTTCTATTTGTTCGACGATCAGCCGAAGACTCTAAGGAAGACCCTGGAGCAAATGCTTAGAAAGACTCTACTTCATACTCGGTTTATTTTTTAGTGAAGCAGGATCAGGAACTTTAGAGAAATGTTCTGGCGCTGCTGCATCTGTGCCCTAAAATGATCTGCGACCATCGAGATTAATACCTCGAACTTTCGCTTTAAATAATGCTCATTCATTCAAACGTTTGTAAATTGATCGATGGTAACTACTAACTTTACTGCATTAGTAATGCTAGGATCAGAAGTAGTACTAATAACGCCTTCATCACTACTAACGTTATCGGTATTAACAATGCCATAAATATTACTAATATTACTACTGCTACTACTGAAAAGCTGCCATATTTGGAAGTTACTCCAGAACTTCGAGGTCATATTTTGTCTTTTATGGTTAGTGTAGTATCAATGCTATTAGTAATAGTACTACTTATGGCAATAACCGATGTTTAGCACTAATACTAATACGTGTCTACGCTACCCTGTCTATTAGCAGTACTGGACAATTATTAGTGGAATTACCACTGAACTAAATAAATTATCAAAGGTACATTCGTTTTATGCCATCTGATCTGTGATAACAGACGACTCTAGTATACGTTTCAACAATACAGTGGGTCGCGTTAAACTATTATCTTACCGTTGCGACATCGGTTGCATATTATTTTGAAAACGTTGAAAGTCGTTTTGGCTCGGCACGTTGTTGACGCGTTGCATTTCCTCCGTATGAGCAACACCGTTTGACATAGATGTAGGAACAACATCGGCCTTTTGCTGCTGAACTACTTGCGGGACAGCTTCCTGGTGGGCAGAAGCAGCGCCATCTGAAATAAGTAGTGACTAAAATATATCAAGAAATAAACACAGAAAAAATAATAAGGAAGAGTTCAGAAAATTCTACAGTCGACACCAATTTTAAGAGAGGGCAAGAAATTCATCATTTAAAACAACTTAAGACGTAACAATTATCAACTCTACAGATATATGCTTACCAGCAGTAGCGACAGTTTCCTCTTCTTGGTTAGCAGGTGGTCCCTTAGGTTCTGGCAAGTCGTCCAGATATTGAAAAATGTCGCTATGGACGTAATATTTCTTTTCTGATTGCGGAGCCAGAACAAAACTCTGAACGAATGGACGCAGAGGACCATGGTTTTTGCCCATTTCTCCAACGACCTACAAAATTTTCATAAGGCACAATTCTAATTTTTTGAACTTCAAGAATGAACAAAAAGAACAAAAGCTGGTGATATAATTCTGAGTTGAGAACACCATGGAGCGTAAGATTTTCATTTGTGCATTTTGAGACCAATTGATGTAAACAAACTCTTTCGTGGGAACTCTCAGGCAAAACTTACACTCGCCTCTCGATTCCGAGAATCACTGTACTAAAGTTACACAGACGTTAATCACGTTGCTAATGCACATACAGCGTTCTACACGAATAAGAAAAGTTTGTGACTTTGTAATACGATGCACATGCCATCATTAAGAGACCATGTTCCTTGAGTACAGTATTTTCTACAACAAACTTACGTTCAAAAAGAACCAAAAAGATGTTATGTCCAAGCCTCACTATTAACGGCTCACATTTTTATAAAAAATTTTCAGGTTGTCAGGCTTACCATGTTTTAACCGGCTAAAGACATAAAAAATATATAGGCAACAAGTTTCTCGCGATTCAGGTTTTAAGATTCTGCAAATAAGCTTAAAGCTCAGCTTAAGAAATAGCAAATTTACCTAAATCTAACAAAAACAGCAACTTCATCTAAAGGAATACAACATAAACAGGACACAGGATTATACTAACAGTACGGCTTTAGGCAAGGATCGAAGTTCTAAAGGTTAACCGAAATCAAATTCCATTTGTGCTGATGCATAAAAATCGTACCAAATCAGCTTGGGTTTAAAAAGCGATATATGCTTAATTTTTAAAGTAGCCAGCTATAAGAGAACGACTACTTTAGACAAATGACCTTGCAGCGTGTCTCTAATACGACTACCCGGGCAAGTAATTTTGGGTAACTTTCTCTACCACTTTCATAATTTTGGTCACCGCACGCACAGACTTCAGTCATCTAGGGCAATCAGTCGTAAGCCGTGATTGAAAAACTTCGATCTCGGGTGCAAATGGCTGCAATGAGTTACGACGAATCGCTAGATTCGCGCGTCTCGACATGGTTCGGAGGTTCAGACATCCACCAGGTTTGGTGTACATCTTCGGCTTCTTCAGATCGAGAAGTCACATCTGCTATGATTCAGGCACATGTTGCGAGTGCCACCAGAAAGGAAGGAGAAACTGCTACTTCTTTCTCAATCAACAGGCCGAGTACCGCAGGATAGACCAAGAAAGTGTTTCTGAACAAAGTGTCTCAACTATGCTAGCTCCAAACTCAGTATTCTCTCCTAAAACTATACGCAGGTTTGGGAAAGTTGGAGACATCTTCTGACGCTACTGCTTCCGCTGTCCTAAAAGATAAGCGGTCATCGAAATTGAGTTCACTTTACTACCCAAATCTTATTCCGTACTTGCTGATATAAACTATAAAGCATTTTAAAGCATTATAAAGCATCTTGTTACGATTTCTATTCGTCTTGCTTTGGAGACTTTATCGTTTGTACACACAATAAACGGAGAGGTGAAGAGTCATGCCTTCACCGGGGATTAATATTATGTGGTTCCACTTTTTCCGTCCAAATCAGATACTCATATTTATTTATTTAATATTTACATGTACATTATACGCGCATCAGAAAGAATAGCCGTTTACTCCGCACACCGTAATGTGACTATACCAAACCACCATTCTATCTCTATTATTTATAAGTCAACAACTTGCAACCCGTTTTTCTACAGTATTGTTAGATCATTAACTGCGTGAAATAAATTAACACTAAATCTTCGAGGACTTCATCATATACATGAACGACAAAGGAAGAAATCAAACCGTGATCACATCACAAACAACCACCGGACTCGCATACTTCTAGCTTTAAGCACTCTCGCTGTCAGGTGTTACTAACCGATAAAAAAACTAGGCTAACTTGCTGCCCGTGGTTAGAAGCGAGGTTGAATAAATCTCCTGGTTAAATAAGCAGGAGAATTGCCGGGCTTATGTCGATGCCACAGTAAACGCTTAGGCACCCTTTAAACTGGGGAAGTCGATAGGCTGATTTAACTTTACCTACCACAGAAAAAATATATGCCGCTGAACGGCAGGAAATGTGATTTTGACAACATCAGTTATGCCTCAGTTAATTGTTTTTCGCCAATTCACCTGGAATATACAAAATAAAAGGTTCGTGATTAGAGGTGGGGCTTGCTCACTGACACAACTTTGTTATCAACATCATTTAACGAAACTACTGTTAGAAATTGACTTAAGTGAGACTGAGGTTAGCCAAGCATATGAAAATTTTTTCATATGGAATGAATGCATTTTACAACCAGATTTCTAAATAGCGTCACTCAATAAATAAGCTGAATAAACATATGGCCAGGCGGTGGAAACAATTTGGCTGCTGCTGTTCACGCCACTCGAAAGACTAGCGGCATCTGAAATTGCCCTGTCTAATAATCTATTGTTTAACGATGACACACTCCGGTGTATGATGCTATATTTTTGGGTGATTTGCAAAAGAATGACAAGAACTCGCTCAAGAAAGACCGCCGGAGTCGTGCAAAATAATCCTACCCAGTGAAATAAAGTGATATGCATCACTAGGACTGCAAGTGGTTAAATAGCAGTCATAGTTTGCTTTAAATGGCTCACAGACAACCTGGAGCAGGTTGGCGGCGTAAAGCGTAAAATGTGAAATACGCTTTGGACTTAGTTCTGCGCTGTTTAACACACTTCAGCGTATGAAGCCATTTTTTATATTCATGCCTTAGCACATTCGGCGTACCGGATCCTGCAACAATGATGCACGAATAAAACGCTGCGAGCTGCATACAGCGGTGGAGGTGTTGCGATACCATGAACGCAGGTAGATTTAAATAACAGCTACAGGAACACTGAAGGAGTGATGCAATAGCCACGAAATTCGGTTTTGATGGATTTAGCGCTTACTAATATGCTTCGGCGTATCAGCTTGCATCTTCATCGAAATAAAGGCTACTGTAATTTTCCAAAACCCTTAAGAACAAGTTGGTTTCCAGTAAGGTGGAAATTACGTTTGTTTCATTCGCCGTAAGCAATATCAATGTCGACAGCTACCTCAACTGAACTTATAGATTTGTTCGATCACTCCTATACTGTCCATTCACTCATTTACATCTTCTGAACTCTTAGCAGATGTTGAAAACGTTTACTGAAACTACAGTGGTATTCCTAATCAAGTAGCAGTAACACAAAATGGATGTTCATTTAGAACTATGGAGCTCGCTGTCTGATATGCTTAAGCATTTAGTTTTAGAAGGTTAATACAAATTTTAAATGATCATAGGCCTCATTTAAATTGTAATTCATGCAAACCGAATATTTCGTAGTGTTTCCTCAACGGGCAGTTAATGAAAATGAGATTATATAAATACGTTGTGAAACCAGCATTATATAATAAATATATATTTACATTAATTTTAGCATGCTTCTGTACTTACTTATCAGAAGTGACCAACGATCATAAAATCTGTCCTAGCTTCTATAAATGCTTAAGCTCAAAA